CCCATCCTCCCCGGTGTCATTTAAGATGCCATCTGCGGGCTGGAGAGATGGCTCAGAGGTTAAGAGCACTGACTGCTCTTCCAGAGGTCCTGAGTTCAACTCCCAGCAACCACATGGCGGCTCACAACCATCTGTAATGAGATCTGGTGCCCTCTTCTGGTCATACATGCTGTATACAAAATAAATAAATCTTTAAAAAAAAAAAAAAAAAAGATGCCATCTGCCCCAAAGTGGATCACTGAGGCCCGGACACGAGGGATTTTTAAGTGGTGGGTTTGGATAGGACAGGGGCATTCTCAAAACGGGCCCAGTCTCCAGTTCTTGCTTGTCTGCAGCGGAGGTGGGAGTTGGTTCCCCAATTTCAAGTCCTCTACAGTGTGTTAACACAAAGCCTGGCCTCAAAAGTGGCAAGAATTTTATTTAGGGTGGCCACACAGGGACATTGTGCCAAGCATGACTCTCTAGGCCACTGTTTCTCAACCTTACTAATGCTGCTGCCCTTTAATACAGTTCCTCATGTTGTGGTGACCCCCAATCTTAAAATTATTTTTTGTTGTTACCTCATAACTGTAATTTTGCTACTGTTATGAATTATAATGTAACTATCTGTGTTTTCTGATGGTCTTAGGCGACCCCTGTTAAAGTGTCCTTAGATCCCACAGGTTGAAATCTGTTGCTCTGGGCCCTTCTAAAGCAGAACCTGGAATGTCTAGGCAGCTGGCCTTGTCATCCCCCACATTCCGAATGCCACCCCTGAAGCCCGCCTCTCCACTCCACCTCTCACCTTTACGAAGTAGATGTGGAGTTAGGCATGGTATACCCCCTTAATCTCAGCATTTGGGAGGTGGAGACAGCTGGATCTCTGAGTTTCAGGCCAGCCAGGGCTACATAGTGAGACTGTCTTCAAAACAAAAAAAACAACCAAACAAGCAAGATTTGGACTTGACAGGTTTGTACAGGAATGCCTCCGTCCAAGTTTGGGACTTGCTAAGGACAGAGGAGTCCTTCCGAGATGGTGGGACAGCCACTCCAGCTCCCTGTGATTTCTTGGTGAATGCTGGGAGAAGGTGAGTCTGAAAGATCTTAACGACAGTTAAACAATGGGGAGGAAGGAAAGGTACAGCCGTATTTCCTCCACACAGCTCCCAGTAACTATGGCAACCAGATTCTGTCAGGATCACCTGACTCAACTAGTGTGGCCACTCGACGGCCCAGGGCCACCAAAGAGGTGTTACAAGGCTGGACTTCCTTTAGACAAACAAAATTAATTTATTTTGCGAGCGGCGGGGCACACTTACGTCATGGCTAGCTTTGGTGTGGAGGTCAGAGGGCAGCTTGCAGGAATCGGTTCTTTCCCCGACATGTGGGTGGAGGAGCCAGCCTTTGGGGCAAGCGCCCTTTCCGTCTCAGCCCTTTGCTGGCCTTTGCTTTTCTTTCTTTTGGTAGAATTATAAATGCGTTTATGCATCTGTTGGATCCAAAAGCAGTGCCCTGGAGAGACAGGGTTTGTCTGCATTTTCCGGAAGATTCAGTCTGAGCACGTGAATGTGACTCAGTTCATGAGAGTGTGTGTGAGGGATCGGGGAGTCAAGGCCCTACTCTCCAGGCCAAGAAGTTCGTCCCCTTTCTTCCTTTGAAGGTGATGGTGAGAACCCCACCCCCCTCATCCCCAAACCTGGAGGTCAATTCTTTTAAAATGCAGTATAAAGCCAGGCATGGTGATCCAGGGCTGTAATCCCAGCCCCTGGGGAGCTGAGGAAGTGGCAAGTCACGGGTTCTAGACCAGCCTGGTCAACACAGAAGTCTTGTCTCAAGATGATCAAAATCAAGTGCAGGTACCAGGACGACTCTCCAGCTGGAGGAGTCAGCTCAGCTGGTGGTCCCAGGCCAGCTTCACAGCTGTACGCCCTTCCTCCCCCCAGCACATTGACCCCCATGCCCCACCCCCCTGCCAGGGGCAATTTTAGGATTTCTGAACACACCATCTTGTAATTTTTTACGTGTCCTAATTTTCATAGTAAATCTTTGAAGCAGGTTTGTGGCTGGCTGTTCTTGAACCAGGAAAGGACAGCGCGTCCCTCACATCCGTCCCTCCCATGGCAGGATAATGTCTGCTACTGCCAAGCAGGAACTGCATTACCTCTCTGTCAGGAGTTTCTGCAGGCTGGGTCAGTGCTCGAAGCAGATGGGGTGGGGTAGATCATCTTCCAGATGATCAGCCTGTCACCTTGCCTCTGCATTTCTTTTCCTGTCAGAGGAAACCCACAGAGCATCTCAAACTGCTTGTGGGCCCTGTCTCATTCTTTTGGTCTTTTTATTTCTAGCTCTGAAGTGGTTTTCACAGCACGCTCCTGTGATCTTCTGAATCCCCCTTCCTTCCCTCCTGGAGAACTTGGTGCCTTCTTCTCCCTGCCACCTACCTGCAGGGCTTCTGGTTTGCTTCGTGTAAGATGTCGTCTTGAACCATGTAGCTCACTTCAAGTTCTTCCATAGCTGTGCTCTTAAAAAGACACCGATGGAGCTGGAATTAGCTTAATTCCATGTGTAACTAACATTGAACATGTAACCAGTGTTTAAGTTGCTGATGGGCTGTCTTACGTTAGTCTTGTGTAGTAAGTTTTTAAAATCTAGGCTGTACTTTACTTCGACATCCTACCTGATATTGGATGTTAATTTTGTTTTTTTGCTTTTGTTTTTTTGAGACAGAGTTTCTCTGTGTAGCCCTGACTGTCCTGGAACTCTCTCTGTAGACCAGGCTGGCTTTGAACTCAGAGATCTTCCTGTCTCTTCCTCCTAAGAGCTGAGATTAAAGGCGTGCGCCACCACTGCCCAGCAGATGTTAATTTTTAAATACATATTTATTTATTTATTTATTGATGGTGGGCATACATTGGTTAATTAATTTATTGGGAGTGGGCACACATCTATGTATGTATGTATGTATGTATGTGTCTATCTGTCTGTCTGTCTATCTATCATCGGTGGCCAGCACATATGCCAGGACATGTCTGTGGAGGGAGGCAGGAGAGCACAGTTTGCAGGAACTGGGTCTTTTTCTTCACCATGTGGGTCTTGAGGACTGAACTCGGATCATCACACTTAGCGTGAAGCACCTTTACCTGGCTGTTTTACCAAGCACCCCACCCCCAGCCCTTGCTTCTTGCCGGCACACTTTGAAATACCCTTCTGAACCTCTTCCTGCAGCACGGCCCGTCTCTTTGCTTCCCACACATTCTGCAGCAGGAGCTGGTTTCTATGGATGGAGGTGTCAGGACCGCCCAGCCCTGATGCCATAGCACACCGTCCTCAGTCCTGGCTGCCCATGTCTCCTGAGACAGGCTTGAATAACTCTGCTAAAGCTGCAGAGCCTGTCCTGTCTGGTTGGGAAACAGGCACACAAAGGACGGCCCTGTGTCCCACCGAAGCTGCCCCATGACTGCACCAGCAGGCCAGGGCACAGCCTGGGTCCCGGAATATGATTCTGGGCAGGTAGCAGTCCAGGCAGGTAACAGTTCTGCCGGGGTCGGAAACCTTCTCCCTCACTTGAAGGCACTCTATCCCTAGCTGCCCTGGGGTTCCACTTTCCAAACAAGAAGTACTGTGATGGGGGTAACTCTGGGGCTGTTTTGAGACAGGATCTTGCTGTGTATCCCAGGTTGTTATGTATGTAGCCAATGATGGCCTTAAACTTCTGATCCTCCTGCCTGTCTCTCTGCCTCTCAAGTACCGAGATTACAAATATTTGCTGCCCTATCATGTTTTTGAAATGTTGGGGATCAAGCCCTGGGCCTCACGCATGCTAGGCAAGTGCTTTACCAACAGAGCCTCAGCTAATATGCTGAATTTTAAGATAAAAAAATGATGTGTTTGTTTGTTTTGCCGGTACACATCTATGCATCACATACGTGCCCTGTCTGCAGAGGCCAGGAAGAAAACACCAATCCCCCAGAACTGGAGTTTCCGGTGATTGTGAGCCTCATGTGACTCCTGAAAAAGCAGTCCTCCTTTACAAGGAGGCAGCCTAGGACTGGAGTGATGGCTCAGTGGTTTGAAGAGCATACATTGCTCTCCCAGAGGATCTGAGTTCAGGCCCCAGCATCCATGGCAAGTGGCTGAAAACTGTCTGTCACTCCAGCTCCAGGGCGTCTCATGACCTTTTCTGGTACTGCACTCACACATGTACAGAAACACACACAATTAAAAAGAAAGATTTTAAGAGTAAATAAAAAAGAGGCAGATTCATTGGGCACTTTGTTATGTAGCTGAGGTTGTCCTTGAACTTGCCTCTTCCTCCCCAATGCTGAGGTTACAGTGTGGACCACCATACCCTGCACACACATTCACTTTGAAAACAAACACAACGAAACAACATAAACGGTCAAGTCTCGGTTGTACAAATTGAGTTTTTATAAAGTGAAAAAGACTCTTGTAACAAAGGAGAGCATGGCCAGCCTTTTAAAACGCCCTTCCTGCCCCCTTCTAGGTTTCTCCCCCCGATATTGGATGCCATGTGTTTTGGGGCACCAGGTTTTACTCACACCTTCTCATGGTTGGTATTTCAAAGCTGCCATCACTTCCGTCACTCATGACACATTGGTTTATCAGAAGAAATGCTGGTTTGGAGTGTGTGGCCTGAGGGAGCTCCTCAGAGGCAGCTCGGGAGCGTCCAGTCATCCGGGCCAATAACTTACTTTTTGTCTCTGCTTGAAAGGCCCTTGTGAAGTTGGTAGCCTCCTTGGTTGTTCTGTTTGCCAGATTAGAGATTGAAAACTTGTTCTGTGGGGAATGGGCAGGGGGTACGGGAACATCTTCTTTCTCCCTGCTCCCTTTAGAGTTGTTTTTGAGACAGAGTCTTAAGTAGCCCAGGCTGGTCGCCAACACTTGTTGACAGTGGGGGATGATCTTGAATGTCTGCTCCACCTCCCCAGCACTGGGGTCTCGGGCATGCGCCACCCCCAGGTCAGGTGACCTCCTTACGGTGTCTTCTGCCTTTGCTTTAGGTAAAATGTCGGCTCCAGGACCTTACCAGGCGGCTGCAGGCCCTTCTGCAATGCCCACTGCACCCCCAACCTATGAAGAGACAGTGGGTGTCAACAGCTACTACCCAATGCCCCCAGCACCTGTGCCGGGGCCAGCCACAGGGCTCATCGCAGGCCCAGATGGGAAGGGCATGAATCCACCTTCGTACTACACCCAGCCTGTGCCTGTTCCCAATGCCAATGCAAGTACGTATGTCCCCCAGTCCTCTTTGCAGCTCCTCAGTCACCAAGCCTGCGGACCCTGAGAGGTAGAGGACCGCAGTAAGGTGCCAAAGTGTCAAAGCCAAGTGACAAGCACTGTGACGTCCACCCCACCCTGGTTTCTCATCGGATATTTCAGATGTTCCATTGTTGAGGCCTGAAATTCCCCTATTATAGAACACATTTAGTGGCCGGCAAGACGGCTCAGTGGTTAAAGGTGCTGGCTGCTAAGCCTGAGTTTGCTCCCCAGGACTCGAATGTGGAAAGAACGGCTCCCCAAAGTTTCCCTTTGACCTCCACATACACATGCACAGACATTAACAATAAATGTAATCAAAATAAACAACGATAACAAAAATCCCCAGCAAAATATGTGGGATCCTCCACATGCGGTCTGGGCTCCCAGCACCTCACCACCCAGAGAACTTGGGAGTGGTAGTTTATGAGTTCAGAGCCAGGGGTGGATAGAGAACTCCTGTCCTGAGGCCAGCTGCGGCAGGAACAGGAGCAGGAAACAGTGCTGAGTGAGAAAAGGAGGCAAAGCTGCTGCCCCTCTGTTGGGCCGGGTCTCGCCTGGACCCTTGGAAGGTTTCTCCAGAGTCCTTGTCGTAAGAGTCCTCGCTGGCCAGGTGTGCGAGTGTGCACTACTCACCATCGTAAGCTGATGACAGCCATCTGAGAGAGCAAACCTGTGACTCAGACCAGCAGAGCTTGTCCCCTGCCCTTCTGTTTTCAGTTTTGTTTGTGTGTACCTGTGGAGGCCAGAGGTCAACCACAGGAGCTATCCACCTTGTTCTGTAAAAATGCGTGTGTGTGTGCGTGTGCGCGCGCGTGCGTGCGTGTGTGTGTGTGTGCGCGTGCGTGCGTGCGTGTGTGTGTTTGCGCGTGCTAGCATGTATGTATGTGCACCATGTTGCGTGCCTGACACACAAGAGGGCCCGAAGGAGCCTTGGATCCCCTGGGAATGGACTTGCAGGTGCTTGTGAGCCATCATGTGGGTGTGGGGACAGAACCCGAGCTCTGGAAGAGCAGCCACGGCTCTTAATGGCTGACACATCTCTCCAGCCCCCTTACTCACCTTTCTAATGGCTCGGTTTCCTCATCAGCGCGTCCCTGAGTTAGTGGGTCATTCTGTTAAAATTAACTTCCTGGGTCATCACCTGATAAGATACTGGTCATTGTGTCCAGTTCTGACTTCTTGGGGTGGAGAGTGAGCTAATAGCTTTTTGGAGACAGGGTATTACTATGTAGCCCTGTTGGTCTGGAGTTCAGTATGTAGACCAGGGTAGCCTCAGACTTCTGGTTTTATTATCTCTAATTCCTAAGTGTGTCACCATGCCCAATTTTTGAAATCCTGGGGGTTGCACATGCTAGACAACCACTCAACCAACTACCCATGTCAGTAGCCTGCTACTTTAGTCTCGTCGACCATCCTGTGATCAAGAAATAACTTATTCTTGAACCAAAGCAAAACTTCTGTATAACTGAAGTATGCTTCTTCCTGCTTTCTGGAAGCAGTCTTGGTGCTGGCGAGTGAATTCTCGGTAGATAGTCTCTGGTCCCCTAGCTCCAGGTTATGTAAATGACATCCCAAGGGCCTAGCAGTGGAGGGGGGTCACTGACAGGGATACAGCTGAAGCGGCCTCAGGACCTCTGTCACGGAGATTGTCTCCTGACCTCCATGAGTGTCTTCTCCTTGGCTCATGGCTCTCTTAGCAGTGTTTGACTTGTGTGTCAGCTCAGTTTGCTGGCTGTTTCCCAGTTGGCAAACTTCATACCATTATCATCAGGTGTCAGAGGCCAACCAGGAGTCGTGGTGTGTATCCCTCCCTCCTCTTAGCTTCTGGCAGCCAGGCTTGGCTAACACCCATCATGTCTCTGCCTCTCTAACCCCTTCTGCCAACCACCTCAGTAGAGCCATCTGCAGAGCTCAAGAAGTAGTTTGGGGACCCTGCTGCTCACGCTTGAGTCCGACCGCAAGGCCCAGAGCCTGGGAACTGGCATCTTCAGTAAGAACCCCACAGGACAGGTGCTCTAGGAGAGCCAGGACCCACCAAGAGGACACAAAGTCTTTCTTTATTTCTTTTTTTTTTTTTTTAAAGATTTATTTATTCATTGTGTATACAGAAGAGGGTGCCAGGTCTCATTACAGATGGTTGTGAGCCACCATGTGGTTGCTGGGAATTGAACTCAGGACCTCTGGAAGAACAGTCAGTGCTCTTAACCGTTGAGCCATCTCTCCAGCCCTCTTTATTTCTTTTTTATAGACTTTTAAAAACTCCTGAAAATCTGTCACTGTTTTCTATCTCCTTTTTTATTCTTTCTTTTCTGTATGTGGGTGTTTTAAATGTGCATGATACTTAGGAGGCAGAGGCAGGAGAATTGCCACAGATTCAAGGTCAGCCTGGTCCATGTAGTAAGTTCCAGGCTAGCCAGGACTACATAGGGAGGCCATGTTCCATCCCACCCCTTCCTAAACAGTGTGTACACACAGATTCAACACCGCATAAAATCTACCATTTGACTACATGGTAAGTCCAGAACTGAGGAGGCTGCTGAGGCAGGAGGATCACAAATTGAAAGATAGTGTGGGCTATCTGATGAGATTCTCATGATCACAAAAAAATGGAAAAAAAAATCAACCATTTTAATTATTCCATTTAAAAAATAGTACTTGTATTTAGAACATTTCATGAATATATATGTATGTATGTATGTTTATAGTATATATACTATGTATATTACATGCATATATATTTATAGTCTTGATCGTATCCACATTCATTCCCCTCTACCTCCCTCTGCCCTCCCCTCACTGTCCTCTTCCCAACTTCAAGTCCTTCCCACCTCTTGAAACATCTGAAAGTGCACCTCAGTGGTGTCGGGTAAACACACGTTGTCCACCTCCACTCTTAGTCTCTGAACCTTCCGTCTTCCCACCCCACCCCCTCACCCCCAGGCGCTGACTGCAGTGGGCTCCTGTAGGCATCTCTGGGGTCACCCGGTGCTTGTCCTTTGGTGACTGGCTTATTTCACTCAGCACAGTGTCCCTTTAAGGCTGAGCTGTGGTTGTCCAGGCAACTACAGTTTACTTATCCTTTCATCCTTGGGAGCCACAGGTGATTTAGTGACAGCGTTATGAGCTTGGGTTCTGGGGTACCTGCTGTAACTCTGGTTCTCGTGTGGACAACAAGCGAGCGCTCCTGTCCCTGTTCACTGACCAGTGTTGTCTTCTACCATCAGTTGCCGTACAGACAGTGTATGTGCAGCAGCCCGTCTCCTTTTATGACCGCCCTGTCCAGATGTGCTGTCCATCCTGCAGCAAGATGATCGTGACTCAGCTGTCCTACAATGCCGGCGCCCTCACCTGGCTGTCCTGTGGCAGTCTGTGTCTGCTGGGGTGAGTGTACCCACTTAGCCCCTGGAGGGTTCCCACTATGCGGTGATTGATATTCAGTGTGTGTGTGTGTATGAGCGTGGAGGCCGAGGTTAGCTGTTTGACTTGTCTTTTGAGACAAGCGCTCACTGCTCTTAGACCTGCCAAGTGGGTTAGGGTTGGCTGAACAGTGAGCCCTGGAGAGCCCTCTGTCTCGACTTCCCAACCCCAGGATTGCAAGCTGGTTCCTTACCATCTCACAGACAGTTTTAAAACCACTTCCCTTTTTCTTCTTTGTGTGTTCATGGACGTGTACCATGGTGCACATGACGAGGTCAGAGGACAACTTTCAGTGGTCGGTTCGCTTCCACCTCTTGGTTCAGGGGACTTGAACTCAGGTCCTCATGCCTGCAAGGCAAGTTCCTTACTGACTGTGCTATCCCCCAGATTCCTGTAGGAATTTTTTTCTTCTGTTTTTATGATACTGGGCCCAGCAGCAGCACTCAGGACCTGCATGCTAGGCTAGTTCCCTGTCTACACACCCTCAGCCTGTGTAGGATGCTCAAGGCTGAGCATGGTGGCATACTCCTGTAATTTCAGCACTAACAGGAGGTGAAGGCAGGAGGAGTGAAGATTTGAAGGCAGCCTTGGTTACAGAGTGAGACCTTGTCTCAATAAAACACAAAACAGGACTGGTCAGATGGCCCAGCAGTTAAGGGTGCTTGTCACCAAGCCTCACAATCTGGGTTTGATCCCCAGAACCCACACAGAGAGACCTGACTCCCAAAAGTTGTCCCCCAACGTCCACATTTGTGCTGTGACACATAGGTATTCACCTCTACACAATGAATGAATGAATGTGAAAATTAAAAATGAAAGGCTGGAGCAACACCCCTGGGCTTGGCTTTCTAGACGTTCATACTGCCCCCTCCCCACAGGGCAGCCACCAAAAATTACCCTGGATCTGCAGGGTGCCTCCAGGTGGGAACTCCGCTCAAACACATGTGGAAATCACCTGGCATGTTCATGTAGAGACCCACGGAGCAGCTGTTCACATCTGCAGAGGGTGGGATCCTCGGGCTTCTTTTCTTCTAGAATTTCATGACCTAAATAATAATTTTTACGTGACCCTGAGCGAAGCTTCAAACACTCTGTACACTAACACACATTATGGGCCTCTCCTCAGCCATGCTTCTCCCTTAAAACCCTGCTATTTTCCCGTTGCCTGTGCAGGGGATTACATAAATATTTATGTCTGCCCTGGTAATAGCAGGAGCCTCACCCTTTCTGGCCCATGTCCACTTAGAAAGCCACTGCTACATGCGTTTTCCTGGAAGAGCAGGTACCTCAGCTGCTAGGTGACTGGCCCACATCTCCTCACTGTCTGCTTGTGACTTTAGGTGGAGAAGGAAAAACATTGTTCTTTATTTCAAAGGAAGCCCTCAAGCCTCTGCTCTCTGAGGAAGAAGTGGTCTACGCAGGCCTGTCCACCCATCCTTCTGTCTTGCCTATGCGGCTCCATTGTGGACTCTAATAACATCCATCCTCTGGGCAGACAAGGCTTAAATAAAAGTTCATTGCTAACCAGGTCTGCCATCCCAGCACTTAGGTGTGAGGCAGGAGGATCACAAGCTTGGGCTCTGCCTGGGCACCTGAGTGAGACTGTCCACAAAGTAAAAAGAAAGCCGTGCATAATGGCACACACCTGCACTCCCAGCATGCCGAGGCTGAGGCAGGAGGATCAGTAGTTTAAGGGCAGCCTCCAGCACCAAGGGTGTTTGAGGCTAATCTGGGCTACATGAGACCCTGTTTTCACGGCTTTGAGATATTTGTATTAAGACTACCTTTTGTCTTTGAAACTGGGTTGGGGCACAAGGTCAGCCTCGCCTGAGCCAACTGCTGAAGTGGAAGCTGGCTTTCTGCCTCTTTTATTTCCCAACTTTTTAATTATTTGGAGACATGGTCTCACTATGAATCAGATTCCCTCAAGACAGATGACTTCCCTTCTCTGTGTTTGAGTACCCACATCTGTCTCCTGGGGGTGTGGTGAGGATGAGGTCCGTGTATCTGGGGTTACAGGGACCTCACAGGTGAGAGGAGCGAGCAGGCAGCAGTGTTCCTACCATGGGTCCGAGGCTGTAGGAAGTCCCTTCTGTGTGCAGAAGATGGCTGTTAGGAGGGTCATGTGGGGAAATGGATTTCCTGGTCACTGGAACGCTGAAGACAACTTTGTCCCCAGGCAAAGCTCAGCCCACTCCTGTTTGGATGCTGCCAGCCTCGTTTGTTGGCTCTTCATGGTCATGCTACCAGGAGGGCTGAAGAGCAGGCGAAACGCAGGCCATGTGGCCGTCTAACATGTCCAATACGTGGACTGTGGTCCTTTACAAAGCAGTTTGCCAACCCTCCTCCCCCTCCTCCCCCTCTTCCTCTCCCCCTTCCTCCTCCTCCTCTCCCTCCTCCCCCTCTTCCTCTCCATCCTTCTCGTCCTTCTTTGATATAGGGTCTAGTGTAGCTCAGGCTGGCCTTAAAGTCACAGTGTACCCAAGGATGTCCTTGAACTCCTGATCCTCCTGCTGGGATTATAGCCCTACACCACCATGTCCGGTTTGATGTGGTGTGTGGGGTGGAACCCAGGGCTTTGTGCATGGCAGTCCAGCACTCTACCCACTGAGCTACAGCCTCAGAATGCTCCTCCTAAGGTTTTTTTTTCAGTGCTGAGGCTAGAGCCCAGCCCTCCCACATGGTGGGCAAGTGCTCCACCACTGAGCTGCATCTGAGGGCTGCTGCTCTGTTGCTTTTTGAGTCTCACTGTGTAGCCCAGGCTGGCTTTGAACTCAAAATCTTCCTGCTTCTGTCTTTCTAGTGAGAGGATGGCAGGTATGTACCACCATGCCTGGCTCTACCACATGTCATCTTTACTCTGTGTGGCATATCTTTTTGAGAGGATACCATCTTTGGGTGTAGGGGCCACCTAGAGTTTCCAGCGTGGTCCTGTATCAAGATACTTAATTACTTTTGCAAAGACCCTCTCCCTTCCTTTTTAAGTCAGGGTCTCATGTACCCAACTCACCAGGGAGTCAACAATGACCTTGAACTCCTGCTTCTCCTCCTCTCTCCTGAGTGCTGGGGTTATAGGCTCGCACACTTGATATTGGGGATCAGATGCTGGGCTTCGTTCATGCAGGGACAAATTCTACCAGCTCAGGTCTTCAGCTCCACGCCAGCCCACCAAAGACCCTTCAGGAGGTTCCAGCACAAGGATGTGAACCCATGTTTGGTGTTGGTGACGTGTTCCTTCTGTCTCTGTCCTCCCAGGTGCATCGCTGGTTGCTGCTTCATCCCGTTCTGTGTAGACGCCCTGCAAGACGTGGACCATTACTGCCCCAACTGCAAAGCGCTCCTGGGCACCTACAAGCGCTTGTAGGACTTGGCCAGCCAGCCATAGGGGAGATGGTAGATCCTGCTACCGGAAGTCACCTGACCCTTGCCCAGCTCACCCAGAAGAGGCCCCTTCCTTGATTTCATCTCTTCATGGGCTCCATCTTCTTGTCTTTTGCAGGGTGGAAAAGGTCAAAAAAGTAACAAACCTCCAAACCCCAGAAACTGCTGCTTGGAGTTGTGCCCTGCAAAGACGTGGACCTTGATGTTTCAAAGGCTTACAGCCTGCCCAAGTCACCCCCACTAACTGTGGTTGTTACCCCATTTACCTCGCCACTGATTTGCCATTGGCTGGCTCCTCTTCCTCGTCAGTGGTGGCGGTCTCAAACCCGGAAGCCAGTCTGCCTTATTCTTTGCTGTTGGTCTGATCTTGTCTGTCTCTCCCCATCCCTGATGGCAGAGACCCCGCCTTAAAGACTCTGTGGTTCTGTAATTGCAGACTTCTCTGGCACTCAGAGTCACTTTAATTCCATAGGTTTTTGTTTTGTTTTCCAAGTGCACAGAAGGGCTGCCGACACCCACCAGACACATACAGAGAAGGTCACAAGTACAAAATAAAAAGAACAGTCAGGCTGGGTTTAATCACACGCGTCCTGTCTCAGCCCTGCTTCTGTGTGGTGGGGGTGGGGGGGTCTTCTTCCTCGCAGTTTCTGTGAGCTCCTTTTGTTCTTAAAACACACGTGGAAGTCACTGGCAGGGAGACATTTCTACAATAGCTTTTGTGATCGTCATACAGCCCTCATTTTTTCATTTGCTGGTGTGATTTTAGTTGGTTTTGTTTTAGTTTTTGATATGCAGTCTGGCTTTGTTGCCCAGCCCAGCCTTGAACTCCTGGGTTCAAGTCCATCCTTCAGTCTTCGCCTCTCAAGTGCCCAGGGCTCTGGACACGTGCCGCGGCACCTACTGGGCGTTTGTTTTGTTTTCCAACAAATAGGTAATTTCATCTACTGCCTGCATGGATTTGTGTGGTTTTGAAAACCTTGTCTATGTGGGGTCTCTTTGAGGGGATGAGGGGGTCTCTATCTGAGCCCGTGATACAGTGCTGAGAGCTTGGCCAGAGAGCCTGAAGCATGGCTTTGTTTTTTAGAGATGAGCTGCTTGTGTGGCACCAGCATGGTCTTCAGTTTCAGCGGACCAGGTGGGAGGACGCCAAAGACAAGTCAGGGCTCTTTCTAGGTGACCACTCTGTCGTGTGTAGCGTTGACAGAGCGCAGCCAGCTTTTCAGGAGACCCTGTCTCCATCCCGAACCCACACAGAACTGCTGCAGACAGTAGTGTGTGAAGTCAGCCCGACCCTGCACGGCCTGTTGGTTAAGATGCAGTCCTAACCATTCTCTGAGCTGCTCATGCAGTGATCCAGAGAAACTAGCCATCATGTCTGCAGTGACTTATGGGTACCATATACGACTTTGGTGTTATCTGCTTTTAAACAAATAAAATCTTTGGTCACTCTTGGTGAACGATTCAGTTCACCTGCTGTGAAGAAAGGCCTTGTGTTGTGTTTCCAGGCACTGCCCAAAGAATCTTAAGTTGCTCTGTTACACTAGAAAATCCTTCGTGACCCACACCTCAGGCTTGCTGAACATTCGGCCACAGCAAGATGACCGTTGCTAACAGTGGCGTTCGAAGGTTTGGCTGTTGGGAGCCCACAGGCGTCATCCATGGCAGCAAGCCACAGCTTTCAAGTTTGAATAAAACACCGAGGAGAAAGCTGTCCTCATTCATTCTCTGGACAAAACCCCCCTTGTTCATTGACTGGGGCGGTTGTGGGATGCTGGGAGAGGGGGGTACCAAGCCAGGAGTGGGGGTGCCAGTTCTTCCTCTCTCCCACCTGTGGTGACATGTTGGAAGGTGTGAGGAGAGTCAAGTCATTTAGTCGTGGCTTGTATTGCCACTGAAACCCTATTTATGTTCTTGTGAAATCACTGCTCATGGGATCTCAGTGTGTGCTTTTCTTTACTTTGGTCAAGTTCAAGTCTTTGTAGTTAGAAGTTTGGCTGTCACTGTGATGTGTAACTGATCTCAGCTGGTACTAATTACACATGCAGAGTTTTCCAAACAAGGACCCTGTGTCAAGGACTAAAATAGGTATTGTACAGAGTTTAATGCCAGATGGCTACATACTTTTGTGAATTTAGACCCTCCTGTCACTGTTTCTTGGGGGCTGGATAAGTAATCTAGGCTAGCTGGCCCCTGAGATCCACAGGTCTGCATAGCAGCCTCTGCCTCTTAGCTGACAGTCACCATACATCCTAGGCTTCCTCTTACCACACCCCAAAACAAGATGGAAGCTGAATGAAAAAAAGGACGACTGCTCCTGAGTTGGCTGGAGGAGGTTTATTATAGATTTGTAGGAAAGCATAGCCAGAGGTAGGTGCCTCTGGGAGAGAGGGGGATCAGGTGCAGCAGCCCGGAGGCCCAAAGAGTAGACGAAAGGGACCAGGTAACCTAAAAATGTCTGGACTATATGGGGAAGGACAGCCCAGCCCCTGGGCTGGAGACTTCTGGGGTAGAGAGTGAGGTATCCCAGCATACCCTGTAACAGGTGGGGACTGTGGGATGCAGGGAGAAGCTGGCTGCGGGGGGGGGGGGGGGGGGGGGGGGGGGGGGGGCAGCTGTTTGTCCAGTTTGAGACCTAAGGAGCCCTGTGTGGGGATTCTGCACAGACTGTCCAAGAAGGGGACTTGAACTTGGTTGTCCTCAGTGTTCACTGCCTTGCCTGCTTATACGGAGAGGTGGATGTTTCCTGGTAAGCCTATTGGTGGAGAAGAGAGACCAAGTGAAGCCATGGCCACAACCAGGAGGTCGATGCAGGAAGTGTTGACTGTGGCTTTCAGTCATTTTCTGCTCTTAGGCCACCGCCTTTGACATGCAAGACTGGGTGGGTGTGACAGCATCTCTCTGAGGGTGCCATGATCTGATCTCTGCCATTTCCTCCCTGCTCTTTATTGCCTATCCCTCCCTTACTATTAGGGATTGAACCCAGGGCCTCGCTCACCCTAGGCAAGCGCTTTGTACTGGACGAGGCCAGACTACTGCAGTCCTAGGGAGTTCAGCTGCACCTGTGCGAAGCTCATCCAGCTGCGCCGGCTGCTGACTGTCTACCCGCACCCCATGGCGGGGTGGGGAGGGTCCTGAGACCTTCACCTGACAGCTCCAGCCACTCCTTACCTCCCGTTGTTTGTGTGTAGCCTCAGGGAGATCTGGAGGCCCAGAAAGACTAGGGGCAGGGTCTCTGTCGGTGTGCCTATGGGGAAAACCTAACTCTGGTGTGATAACGACTTCCTTTGCAACTTTATGAGGAGGAGAAACCTTGTTCGTGGCCCCTTGCCTGTGCTCATAAGGAGTTCCAGGAAGCTCATTATGTCCTCAGTGAACTTTGTTGGAATCCTGCCTTGACTTGTCATCTTGGGAGGAGAGGTAGACCTTGCTTATGTCCTCACTGGAAGGAATTTCAGTAACACTGTGATGTCTCGACACTTTGGTTTGACTATTTATTGGTTTTTCTGTTTTGTTTTGTTTTTGAACTGAGTTGTGGTACACAATTCAGGCAAGCAGGGAAGCTCTGGGAGGAGCTTTTCATCTCACCCCCTCCCACAACCCAGTGCTAGGATCTAAGACACCCCCCCACCTCACCCCACCCAGAGCATGCAACCACAACCCCAGTGCTGGGACCTCACCCCCTCCCACACCCCAGTGCTGGGACCTCACCCCCCTCCCACAACCCAGTGCTTTGACGAGACGCATCACCACTCCTGGCTGCTTTGAAAGATTCTAGAATGCAGAAGAGGGCACATAGCAAGACCGTGGGGGTGGGGGAACTTGAGAATGCTTTCCTAAGCTGTAATTTGCATTTTGTGTTCGTGCCTGAAATTAAAGCAGTAGGAAGAATGCTCATCCCAGGCCAAATGGGAGGTACTGGCTGGGGACTCAGCCTTCCACAGGCCTCGACCTAAGACAGTCATGTCTGGCTGAGTGTCTCCATGTGTGCCTTACTGGATGAGTGAATGTAGGTGTGAGTATAGTGGGTGGGGTCTGTTAAGTAAGCTTTTCTAAAATGGACAGGGTAGGCCTGTGCTCGAGCTTTGGGGGAGGGGTGTGTATGTGGCAGTGGGGTGTCTCTGATGACAGTAACATGGCCAGCTCACCAGCTGCACCCTAGGATCAGCTGTTTGTGACCACTGGCGCATGATGACAGGGTCCTTCCTGTGACGCTGAGAGCCGTTCTGTGGTTGACTTGGCTTAGCATTCTCTGCTCTGCTGCTGTTCCAACTTCGTGTTCTTTTGTTTGTTGGTTGGGTGGTTTTTGTTTTTCGGACAGGGTTTCTCTGAACTCACAGAGCTCCCTCCACCTGGCTCTGCCTCCCAAGTGCTGGGATTAAAGGCGTGCGCCACCGCTGCCCAGCATGTTCTCTTGCTTTATGTGCAGCTTGCCATGTGCCTGGTAGTCATGAGTGGGTGCAGGCCTCCACGTAAGACAGTTGGGAGTGTGTCTGTCTGTCTGTCTGTCTGTAGAGGGAGGGACAGGGCTGTTTGCTCTAGATCTGAAGACCAATCCCCATGAGAGAAGTTGACAGGATGCCTTGCTGATGTGGGGACTAAAGGGTGCTTGTGCATGCTCCTGGCTTTCCCTACTTTCAACCTCCCAGTGTAGCCCAGAGTCCCACCCATGGCCCGACATCGTTGTGGGACATTTGATCTCACTGTGACCCCTGAGACTGTGTTCATAAAGTTCCGTGAATAAGGGGCGGAGCCAGAGACTAATTGACAAGAATTAGTCATAGAGACCATGGAGGACCCACATAGGAATAGAAAGGCCCAAGAAGGAGTAGGGAAGGACTCGGAGATTCAAAGACATTTTGTTGGCCCTTTTTCATCTGGGAAGTGTGGGGAGAAGGTCAGCTGGTTGATCCTCTGCCACTTCTGTGATCTATCAGGTTTTCATCCCAATATCTGACTCCTGAGTCTTTATTGGTAACAGAGCAACTAACATAACACAGCATGACATAGTGGGAAAGACTTGCTGGGCCAGGCCAGTGCTCTTAGCCTCAGTTGTACACAGAGCCTGGGGGACCCCCACACTCCTCTAGTGGTATGACTTTTAGACCTGGTACCACAACCCAGTTCAAAAACAAAAGCCATTTCCACAGTGTCAAATTAAAGCAAGCTGTATTTAGAAGTGTACAAGGGACTGGCCAGATGACTGCCTCCCCAAGTTGGGGTTTCCGAGAGCAGCCCCTCACTGGCTTTTGGGGTCCCTTTTATGGGGAAGGGTTAGGGTTGATAGAATAACTGTTGAGTAAATTGGTTGTTAGGACCTAGACAGAAGAGTGGGGACTCGGGGCTCAAGGCTGCCTGTGGGGTATGAGCACAAGAACATGTCATATGGAAGGGGAGTCATCACGGTATTCAGGAGTTTAGCAAGGCTAAGAGGTGGGCATACATCATGGGGTCACAAGTTAAGCGTAGGATGAAAAACATTGCCGGATACATTAGGCTTAGGAAACAGAAACTTATTCTTGTAAGGTATGGAGACTTAGTAACAATGTATGACAATGTGGCTCCTTAACAACACCGTGACTCCTGTCTTGGCTTCACATGACCAGTGTGGGCTAGCTGCCACAGAAATTGCTTTCATTGTATTTTTTCTGTAATTGGAAGGGAAAATGCCTAAATGTGACCACAACAAGCCTTCCTGCCGGCTGAGGAGCTGAGCTACCTCCAGCCCTGTGTGGTGATAACGAGTCCTGCTTGGGCTAGCTCACTTTACAGCAAACAGTACTGAAGAATTAGCAATAGTGCCTTGGTCAGTTTTGGTCACTTGTGCCCGCCCCTTCTTGTTTTCTTTGTCTTTCTTTTCTTTTTGAGACAGTCCTGTAGCCCATGCTGGCCACGAACTTCCCTGTGGCTATGTAACCAAGAACGACCTTGAACTTCTCATCTGCCTGCCTCACTTCCCCAGCCCGGGATACAGGTGAGCATCCTTTGCCAGGTTTATGGGTTCTGGAGGTGGAACTAGAGCCTCGGAACATGCTAGGCAAGCACTCAACCAGCAAACTGATGTGCAGCCCTTCATGGTTGACTTCTGTTTGGGACCGGATAGTGTTCACAGAGCATGGATCTTTCTGTGAGCACTGACTGGGTATGTGCCATGTTCCAGGATGCAGCAATGAGCATGAGGGAAGGCTCTTGTGCCATCAAAACGACGCCACGGACCTAAGAGATGTCTCAGGGTTGCTGAGCTAGACAACCTCAGGTCAGTCCCTGGACTCACAGGGTGGAAGGAGAGAATCGACTCCTGCTAGTTGTCCTTCGGCCTCCACACGTGCACCATGGCACACACTCACAAATACGATAAATAGATGTAAGAAGAAGGTGTTTAAAAAAAGAATGCCATCACTTCCACCTCACTTTATGATGACAACAATCTCACTTGTAAATGCATACTGAGATGCCGTCAATCCTGCCAA